TCCAGTGGACTTCAGAGTGTCATGGGGCCTTCGAGGAACTGAAACGGTACTTATCTTCACCCCCTGTGCTCTCTAAACCCAAGGTGGGGGAGACCCTATACCTTTACCTGGGTGTTAGCCCGGCAGCCATCAGCTCGGTACTCATCCGGGAAGAAGATGGCGTCCAGCATGCCATCTTCTATGTTAGCAAGACCCTGAGGGAAGCAGAACTCCGGTATTCCCCTGTGGAAAACACGGTATTGGCTATCGTTTGGACTGTCAAGAAGTTGGGCCATTACTTCCAAGCTCACCCGGTCCAGGTCCTCACTCACCAACCCCTCGACGCTCTGATGAGGAGCCCCACCAGCTCCTCCCACATGGTAAAATGGGCTGTCTTCCTGAGCCAATACAACATCGACATCCGTCCTAGGCCCACCATCAAGGGTCAAGCCCTAGCGGACTTCGTGACGGAGTGCACGACAAGATCAGCCACGGACGAGGAGCCCTCGCCCCCCTCAGACGATTGGTGGACCCTCTACACTGACGGCTCCTCCGCTGTCAAAGCATGTGGAGGAGGGGTGGTTCTCATCTCACCCGAAGGCTTCCGGGCCTATTACGCAGTCCGCTTCTCCTTCAAAGTCTCCAACAATGAAGCCGAATACGAGGCACTCCTCTGTGGCCTTCGGCTGGCGGCTAACATGAAGGCCCGACAGATCCACGTCAAGTGCGACTCCAAGTTAGTCGTCGGCCAAATTTCCGGGGAGTACGAGGCCAAGGAAGGAAGAATGAAACAATACAAGGAAGCAGCTAAAGAATTGCTCAAGGTATTTGAGGCACACTCCATCACTCAAATACCGAGGGCTCAAAACTCCGAGGCCGACATTTTATCGAAGCTCTCGGCCGACTCCCCTGAACATATCTCAAAGATTGCCAAAATCGAGGAGCTCAGCCTCTCCAGCATACATGCTAGCCCCATCATGCACATACAACAAAGGCAAGAGGACTGGATCTCAGATATTGTCGCCCTCATCACCACAGGGCAACTGCCTGAAAATGAGGCCCGTGCCAAGCTAGCAAAGCCGAGGGCTCCCAGCTACACTATCGAAGATGGAAGGCTTTACAAAAGATCATACAACGGGACATTACTTCGGTGCCTTCATCAAGATGAAGCCGAAGTTGCGATGGAGGAAGTGCACAGTGGCACTTGTTCAGCTCACCAGGGACCCTTCTCCATGTCCCGAAGGCTCATAATCCAGGGCTACTTTTGGCATATAATGGCCCAGGATTGTGCGGATCTCGCCCGAAGGTGTACCGCATGCCAACACTTCCAGAAAGCCCCCGACAGGCCAGCAGTCAACTATGCCACCATCAGCACATCCATACCCTTCGCTCAATGGGGTATAGACCTTGTGGGCCCTCTGCCGAGGGGTACCTCCAACAACAGGTACATCATTGTCGCCATCGACTATTTCACCAAATGGGTGGAAGCTGAGCCCCTCGCCAGCATCACCGAGGCCACGTGCCGTCATTTTGTTCTCAAGAACATCCTCACAAGGTTTGGCGTCCCCCAACAAAACATCTCCGACAACGGGACTCAGTTTGAGGCAGCCCCCTTCTGTGCCCTCCTAGAGGCATGGGGCATCAAACACACCTTCTCATCCGTTATCTACCCTCAAGGCAACGGTCAAGTGGAAAACGCCAACAGGACCTTGCTCGAGGGCCTAAAGAAAAACTGGAGGCCGAAGGGGGTGGTTGGGTAGAAGAGCTCCACAACATCTTTTGGGCCTACCGCACCACCCCTCTGCGAGCAATGGGCGAAACACATTTCTCCCTTTGCTACGGATTTGAAGCTAAGGCCCCCACTGAGGTAACTCTTCCGACCCGAAGGTTCACACAATATGATCCCGAGGTCAACGACGCCAATATGGCCCTCGACCTTCACCTTATTTCAGAACGCCGAGAGCAAGCCTTCATACGCGCGGAAAACTACCGAAGGCAAGTGAAGAGTTACATTGACGCCAAAGTCCGCTCCCAGGAATTCCAAGTGGGGGACTATGTCCTACGAAGGAGGGAAGCTAGCCAACCAACCGAGGGAGGCAAAATGGCGCCCAAATTTGAGGGCCCTTACATAGTGACATCTATCATCAAGCCTGGAACTTACAAACTCAAACGACCCAATGGGACCGAGGTCCCTAGACACTGGAATGTACATCACTTAGTTAAATTTTGTCAATAACATTAGAGCGGCCAAGCCCTCATAACTAGTGAATGTATTATTTTGCGGCCCAAGGCCTCCAATTTTTGAAGAATGAAGGCATATTGAAGACACCAAGAACATGGAACGAGACTCTTATGAGCGGCCAAGCCCTCATATCAGCCCCTGGCCCAAGGCCTTATCACAAGTAAGAACCCTCGGCACCAAGTGCCGAGGGTAGACTATACTATCACCTACAACAGGGAAGAAAACACCAGATGTCTTCAATGAAGGCCCCTCGGCACCCAGTGCCGCGGGCATACATTACTGACAGTTTTCAACAAACGGAAGAAAACACCGTGTGTTTCCTTTGAAGACCCTTCGGTACCAAGTGCCAAGGGAAGACACCTCAATCACTTACAACAAGTGAAGAAAAACACCAAGTGTTTTTCAAAGAAGACCCCTCGGTGCTAAGTACTGGGGTCCGTATACCAGAACAAACATCAAGTGTTGTTTCTAAAGTCGTACCCCTCGAGGACGCATATACCGAAGGCGCCACCTATCGGTCCCGGTAGCACGTAGTGCCCCCGTCCATTTGCAACCAGTGTGAAAATGAAAACCCTTCCCTGAAACGCTTTCCGCGTCACTACCCCAAGGGTATGACATGCAAGTAATATGCCCAGGATTCGACTTTCAAAAACGGAACGCTTTCCGCGCCATTTCCCCAGGGATTGGCAGGCATCTGATATGCCCAGGATTCGACTTCCAAATCGAAATGCTCCCCGTGGCACTACCCCAAGGGTATGGCAGGCCACGGACTACGTCTGGCGCCGAGGGGACGACTTTCAAAACTGAGGCGCTTTCCGTGCCATCTCCCAAGGGGAGGCAGGCTACAGACCATGTCTTGTGCCCAGGAAACGACCCTCGATCCCCTCGGAACTCGGAAGGTTAACCTGAGGGGGGAGCTAATGGTGTATTCTATTATCTCCCGATAGGCCAAGCCTTACCAAGAAACCAAGTTTCTTGAAGCCTTCCCTCCACTACCAAAAACAATATGGGGTGGTGAAGGGGAGTAGACTCAGCGAGAAATCAATGAGTACACCACTCCAACAATTCACGGGAACATACCGAGGGCTCCCCACGGGAACACCTTCGGTACCTGGAAGCTCCTAATTACCAAAGATACTATTCAACATGTATCATCAACAAATGGCTAAGTCCACTTTTCGATTGCCTCCGGCTACATCAAAACCGAAGGCTCAAATCCTACAGAACTTGATAGGTTCACTCAACAACACAAGTACACTTTTTGATTGCCTCCGGCTACATCAAAACCAAAGGCTCAAATCCTACAGAACTTGATAGGTTCACTCAACAACAATTCAAAAACGTCCCCGAAGGCTACTATACAACAAATGCCATCAGATGTTGGCCAAGTCCAAGCGAGAATCACCTCCGGCACCTCACTAGACGCCGAGGGGATACACCCAGGCATATATGGCCCGAGGAAGTTTGTCTTTTTCATGCTACACTTGGACTACAAAAATTTCTAAGTCAACACTGTGGAGACACGACAACAGCCGAAGGCTCTTGTTGCCGCAGGCCAATCGTGCGAGACAAGGGAAATTATTCTAGGCCCACAAAGTAGACTGCCCTCGGAGATTGCCACTATGCCTAAGGGTCCCCTCACCGAAGGCCAGCAACAGGAAACACTTAGAAAAAAAAAGAAAAAAAAAACTTCTAAGTCATAAAGCGTGTGGCCCTCAGCAAACTCACATTGTAACGAGGGTCACCCCACTTCATGCAGCAAGAAAGGCCCCACATGCCAAAGGCGAAGTGGTATTCAAACACTTAGAAAGATTTCTAAGTCCTAAAGTGTTGGGCCCTCTATCATTCAACCGAAGGCACACCACGACAAGGCTCTCACCATCATTCGAAGGCTCTTATCTCGTACATCCGGAGGGATCCACTAACCGAGGGCCCAACGTCTAAATTACGCTTGGAAAATTTTCTAAGTCCTAAGCGCTTTGTCTCCGGTCATCTCATGAAGGCTACACAGAATCAGAGGGAAGGAATTAGCCGAGGGCCAAGAGATGAACAACACTTAGAAAAAATTTCTAAGTCCTGAACGTTTGGCCCTCGGTGAAATGTTCATATGACTAAAGGGAACCAGTAGCCGAAGGCTACGGGAGGCACTATACTTAGAAAAATATTTTCTAAGTCCTAAAAGTTGGCCCCTCGGCGAAATCATCGTACAAGCATATATACATTCATACGCAGAGGAAGGAAGAGACGAAGGCATACATTTAAAGGGAAAAACATATTCATATACAAAAGCCCGAAGGCAGACATTCATTCATCAAGAGGAAGGAAAAGTTGAAATGTCTATTACAGGATGGCCGAGGCCGAAAGCAAACAAATGTTCATTACAAAGCCTATTCTTTTAAAATTACTAAGTACAATTTCACTCAGCCTTTGCTTCCTCAGCAGGCTTCGAGGTGACCTCTACTCCAGCCTCCTCACCGTCGCCCTCGACCTCCTTCATCAGCTCTGTATCTTCTAGGTCTGGCCTTTGGACATCCGGAGGGAGGGGAACACGAACGTCTGGCTGTAGGGGAGGGAGGCCATATGCTGCCGGGTCGAAATCCTTCGGGTCGATCCTCAAATGACGGGCCATCCTCCGGTAGATGAGGGCTTGAGTAAAAAACTCACCCCCATCATAATATTGCTGTCCCTTTCGGGAAACCCACTCTACACCGGGGCCGTCACACCACTCGTCAACAGAGGACTCCACAACCGAGGACAGACATTGCTTGTGCCCCTCGGCTTTCCACCCCTCTGCCAGGAATCCGGAGATGGCCTCCTCCCGTGCCTTGGCAACGGCTTCCGCCTTGGCGGCCTCGGCCTCCTTGGCGGCCTTCTCGATGGCTTCAGCTGCGGACCTCTCAGCCTCGGCCTTGCCCCGGTCAACTGCCTCCGCTCGCAGCGTCATCTGCCGAATGCTCTCCTCCAGCGTGGCCATTTGCCTGATGGCATCAGAGTTCTGATCAACGAGTTCCTTCATCTTCGCGTCCTGCTCAGCCTTGCGCAGGCGCCACTCCTCCAGCCTCCGGGCCTGCTCGCCGAGGGCAATGCAAGCCTGTAAGATACAAAGGAGTTAGGAAAGCTATGCAATATATCCTAACGCAAGGCAAAATGATAACAATGAAGAAACTTACAGTGAGGGAAGACCGGAGGATCTTGTCCTCGAGGGCCACATCATCATCGGCCCCGAGGGCGGCTCTGTCAATATCAGGGGTCATGCCCCTCAGGAGCACCCTTGGATCCACCGTGCAGTTCATCACGGCTGTTCCCCTCGGGAGAGAAACCTGCAGAACCTCGGAGGGTGGCTCCCCAATACCCATCGGCATTTCAGCCGTCGACATCTCCACATGCGTCCCGGAGGCGGAGCGCTCATCTACAATCACCACAGGAGGATCCTTCTTCCCGGTATATCCTTTTTTGGGCTTCTTCCCCTCGGAAGCCTTGCCCGTGGCCTTCCTCTTCGCGGCGGCGGCGGCATCAGCAGTAGGGACCGTCGACGGGCCCTCAGACTTCTTGAAAAAATCACCGGTGGGCTTCTGGATGCCCGCATCCGTCCCCTTCGGAATTTTGGAGGACTTCTTCTTCAAATCAGCAAGCCCCTTGACATTCATCTTGGATACCGGGATACCTGCAAAACATTAAGGGGTTAGGCCGACGGGTCATCAATAAATGACATGAAAGTACAAAAAGAGAATAAAAATGTATGCTAAGTACGAAAATGAAGATGCCCTCGGCTGCTACCTCCTAAACCCCTGGAGGCTCCATCAAGCATCGGGTACTTTTCATCTGTTTCCCCCAGGAAGCGATACCGCCGGAACCCGAGGGTATATAGATCCTCCTTCAGGGTGCACTCCTTGATGGTTATATTCTTGTTTCGACCCTTGGGGATCTTAGCCAGGATCCTGCCATCCTTTTCGAGGGCGGCGCTCCTCACCTTCTCATGCCGCCTAAACCGGTCGTGCAGCTCCCTCGGGAAGGGGCTCTCAGCTAGCCTAACGTAGCACCGTCGCTCCTTCCAGCCTTTGTTTGAGGAGGGAGCCTCAATGAATAACTTGAACAGAGCCACCTGTTGCAGGTTCGCGAAGCCCTCGGCATTCGCATGCCCCCCTCCCCCCCGGCACAAGTTGAAACTTTGGAAAAATAAGTCCAAGCTAGGCGTTACCCCCGGGACTTACAGAGATGGAGGAACCCAGCGATGTACGAGTGGCTATTCGGCGTGAGCTGGCAGGGGAGCAGTCAGGTCCTGGGGGGCCATTGACACCGAGAGGATGTGAACGGCTATACATCCCCCGGGGGCCCGGGAGAGGACATCGTCAGGTCCCGGTGGCACTACCGTCGCCGAGGACCCCACATGAAGCTGGGTAACATAGAAGTCCGCCCCATCAGCCTTCGACCTTATCTCAAGGGCGGCGGTATTCAGGAAGGAGTACCTCTCGGGCATATCGACGGGCTTCCCTTGGTCAGCAACGCTGCCTTTCTTCATGGAAGCGGCAGCCTTCGTCTTCTTCTTCCCGGGGGACCACCCGGAGAGGGGTTGGGTTCAATGGCCGAGAGGTGCTGGCCTCACCGGCGTCGCGAGGGGGAAGAACAGTGACCCTCATGCTCTCTCTCTGCGCCTCTTCCTCGGCCACTTGCCAGGCGAGAGCCAGCTCTTCATCCTCGCATTCTTGTTCGAACCCCTCGGCTTCCACCTCGGCAACGAGGGCTCTCTGCAACTCCATCGCCACGGCGGCATCATGCCCCACCGAGGGTTGTTCACTTGTGGACTCCACATCGGAGACAGTTTTATCCTTGACCGTAGGCTCTCTCGAAATGTCCTGCGAATCGCTCTGGGACGACATTTTGGTATACTACGAAAACGGGACTCTACACTGAGGGCTGTCTACAGAATCCTAACCCCTAATCTAAGGCCACAAAGCACAGCTAGCTAAGAGAGGTGAAGAGCGGGTGGGGGACTGACCTTGGAACAAGAATTGGATCGAAGGCAGGTGTTTCTCTCTCTAGAAAATTCGGCAGAGCTTCGCTACACTGAAATCGCACAAGGGGAAGTGACCCTGGCCTTGGGGTATTTATAGGCACCCAAATCCGGGCTTGGGCCTGAAAACCGGGCCTCCGGTACAAATTCATCATTACAAACCGACGAGTTGTCCAATCGGTGACGCCCGCCCACAGGCAGCCAACGAACGCACGCCACGTGGAGGCCCCCCTCCAACGGCTATATTTCCGACGCTACATCTTCCAATGGCTCTATTACAGATGGCTATATTCTAGGAACCCGGGATGTCTCCTTCGATCCACTTCATTAAGAGGAGCCCCCGGGTACACTTACCCTGAAGTGCTCCCGGCCAAGGCACCTCATAATACATCACAAGTGCCTTCGGGCTCACTCCTTCAGAAGCCCACTGCTTCACAACGGGCACACCCCACGGGAGGCACACCTTATTATGGAAGCCTCTCGGGGCACCACAGCCCCCCACTTGTAAACAAACAAGGGACCCCCCGACAACACCGGAAATATCATCCTCATAATTTGAGGGCTCCCCCTTCGGCATCTCTCAGGATAACAACAGTGAACCTTCAGCAAATCAACACAAGCGCCTTCAGACAGGGATAGCCTTCGGCAAAAATACTGCCACTCATTTCAAACCGGGATTTCACCTTTTCGACTCATCATTGGGGGAATTCGGTGCACTCTTTTTCCCTCATTGGAATTTTTTCCCACAGGGTTTTTTCCAATGAGGTTTTTAACGAGGCATCCCCCCAAAATGAAGCAAAAAGCGTCACCCCTCGGCTTCATATTGCAGGCGGGCAATACTCTACTCCTTTTCACCACTTTGCAAGTGCCTCAAGGAGTGGGGACTGGAGGACCCCTTCGGGAAAAATCTCAAAAAGACAAAAAATGTCAAAAACTCCCACAAATGACAAACATGATCCCTCAAGTCCCGGAATGTGGGTAACTGAGGGACTGCCCTCGGCTGAAACGTGTACACAGCGAACTCCTTACCAACTTTACAAACTACAACGGAACAACACCAAAGGACAAACACAAATTACTCCTTTTCCCTCAAGTACCTTTCGGCAAAAGAAGTGAGGGACTCCTGATTGAGTAGATGGCCCAGGAACCCCCGGCCCATAGACTCCTACTATTCTAAGGGAGGCCCAATAGGCCCAGGAAGCACAGTAGGCCCAAATCACAGCGCCCCAAGTACTGAGCAACCCACGTGGCACACTGGGGGTGCCTTCAGCTCCCTGGCCAAAGGCTCCAAATTCTCACAGGATGGCCAACTCAAGCAAACAAAGTCACTGGGATAAAACGGCGAAAATCAGTAGCCCTCGGCACCTAGAGCCCTCGGCACTAAGGAGGTTCCTGGTACTCAGAGCCCTCGGCCAATCGTCTGCAGCCGAGGGCACTTTTCTCGACATAATATCCTCTCCACATGCGCCTGAATCACCGTACCAAGTACGACGTCACATCCAACAGCCGCATTTAATGCGGCCACATGCGAATGCCAGTGCCACCCCGTTGAGGTGACCCCTCGACCACCAGAATGATGACACGTGTCCCTATCTGGCATTTATTACTACTATAAATAGCGCCCCTTTTCCCCATTTGTGATCCAAGCCAAAATCGCTCATTACATTCTCATTAATACTCTCTCTCTCTCTCTCTTATTTTTGCTCTGACTTCTCTCTAGTCACTCCCCGCAGTAACCCCTCGGATACATACCCCCGGGTAGACTATCCATCACCAGTATACGTGATCATCGCATCGTCCGACCTCTCACTGTTCGCAGATACGAACTAAGTCTCCCAGTGCATAGTGAAGTACGCAGGTTCCATCGTGAGCAACTTCTCACAGTTCGCAATCGCGATTTTCTTCTTTGCAATCGCGAACTTCGTCATGTCGTCAACAACTCTTCCCGGTTCGTAAACGTCGTCGCGAGCAGATGTCCTCAGTTCACCGGCCCCGTCGCGTACAGCCTCTCACAAGTTGCAGAGTTCGACGTCCACATATCATCCCAGTTAGCAGTGGTTTCTGCAATCAACTTCTCCTAATCCATCAGATTTATGACAAACTGACACAAACGCTAGCAACTGCTCCGGTTCACAGTCACTAACAACTCCTCACAATGCATCGTTGTTTGTCGTTTCCCACCCTGCGCCAGATTCATCCACCTCTAGGACCATTGACTTAGTCGCATCAGGAAAGGGACTGCCGGGGACTCAACTAAGCACAGTGAACACAGAATTCAAAATAGTTGTACCTTCAATCCTAGAGCCGGAAGAGGATACAGCGCAACCTATTGGAACTCTAACAGATATTTTGGAAGATCCTTGGAAAACAAAGATGTACAATCTTGATGACAGTCTTGGCTTATGGATAGCTAAGCCAGTTTTATCCTCGGGCTTGCTTCTCTTGTCAGGCATAGATTCTGAGAATGAAGGGTTGTTGTACCGAAGTGTTGATTGTGTTGGGGAAACTCCAATGAATGAAACAGTTGAACATTTTAAACACAAGTCAATAGAAGGTATTGCAGATATGCAAATCAGTCATAAGTAAGTTTCAGAGAAAGAGAGCTTGTTAGCCGATGAAATTGGTCTATCTGATGGTTCCTCACAAGTACTTGCAAAAGAAAAATTGCTTAAGACCAATATAGATGATGAGGTAATAAGAGATTGTGAGGGCTTTGTGACAAAATCAACAAATGCCTCTGAGGGTGTGGTAGAACCCACTCTTGTGGTGCTGGAAGTTCACGTGTCTCCATCTGATCATGCTGCTGAACTCCATGTTGAACCATCACCTTAACGTGGAGATGTTGTGTCTATGGGGGGTTGAACAAGTCAATTATCACTAATACTGATGAGCTTGAACGAGTTAGAGGTATATGGGGAAGTGAAAAGGTGATGATGATTGTTACTGAAGCTGCAAGGAATGGAGTAATTGCAGAAACATACGGATCTCTTGTGAAATATGAAATAAAGGAATGATGTCAGCACTTAGCTGTGGAATCTCCAGGAGTGCATGAACTGAAATTTCAGAGATCTGTTTTATCAAGTGAAGGAGCAGTTCAGGGAGTGAGGCGTGTCCATGCCACAGCAGTATCATGGTTTTGTAAGGCTTTTGATTAGGGCGAGGCAAGGTCAAGGGAATTTCTTGGAGAAATATATGTAAGAAGAGGAGCAGGAGTTGGGAGGAATTACCCAAAGGCAACAGAGTCGGCTTATGATATTATGGAATACTTTTACATGAAGGGTTATGGGGTGAAGAATAACTATATCTTGGTAAAAGAGAATTTTGACAAAGATACTGATAATGATGAGTTTGCTTGGTTCTAAAACGTTGGGGTTATGGATCTGAAAGAGTTTGGGGTTAAAACGGAATTGAAGCTGGCCAACAAGTACTTGATAGAAGATGAAGCAGATTCTTTGTGGTGGCAGGTTTCTCTGCAGGGCAATGAACATGCGGTTCCACCCATTGGAGATGCATATTACTATGGTGAGGATACTGACCGAGGTTATGAATGTGCAGCAAAAGCTCATAGGCATATCAAATCACAAAATAATGCTCAAGCCTTGTTTAACCTGAGATACATGCATGACAGGGCCAAGGATTTCCGTTTCAGCATTTCTACCATCAAGCTTTTCCGGGTGGGAATGAGGCAGCATGGTTTTCGTCTTTACCTTTGGCGAAAGCAGTCTTTTGGGTGGACTCTTACTTGAATTATTGCTTTATGTGTTGGAATGTAGTTGCCGAGCTACAATTTTTGTAACCATGGGTTCAGATTCTGTTATTCCTAAGATTTCCTGGACACACATAATGCAGGCTGAAATCTATAGGGAAGAGACATCGTTGATGGGAGATTCAAACTCTTGCAACCTAAGGGAGCACTTTGCCACCATGGCTTTGTCTCTACTCGCTTTTGAAGTGAAGAACAATAAGATGCAGCTTCTAGTACTGAAGTTAAAGATCCAGAAATCCGAGATGTATTGGGAAGGAAGAGGCGCCAGGAATGAAGATGAAGTTGCAGATCAAGGTTGTTTCCTATCACCCACCTTGAGGACAAGGTGGTTGTTCGGGGGGGGGGGGGGGGGGGGGGGTATTGATAGGAATATGGCTTAGTAGGCTAATAATAAGAAATAATAATAGTAAGGGTACATTTAGCAGTATAAATAGAAGGGAAGGAATAAGGGATCTAATAATAAGTAACTAGTGGGCTAGTAGCCTTAATAATCCTTGCGTGGATAATACTATAAATAGAGGGGGGATGTCAAAAGAAGGTAGGCTGTTATTAGATTTAGGTGTTGCCTTGGAGAGTGGGCTTCTCGAACAGTCCCATTGTTGCCTTGTTACCTACGTATTTCCTTCTTTATCAAACAAACTTCATTATCTCTTCCATTCCTAATAAGATCTGTGAATTTGTCTACTGTTTATGCCTGTATCATTGCCAGTGATTTATCACTTGCATTATGTATTAGTGCATCAGCGCCACATTGTATGTAGTATTGTTATGCAACAAGGAAAGCAAATCAATCTTCTCCGATAATCTTGTTAGTTTTAATTTCATATTGAATCCTAAACTGGTCTAATTGATAAAGGATATGTTATTTAGACAAGGGAAAACTATGGTCCAAGCCCAATCCGAAGTGATATGCATGCTTAAACAACCATAATAATTAATTGAATAGTGGAAAAGCATTACTAAAATGTTACTCAGTATTTCCAATGAAAGAACTTTAAACCAAAACTTGGAAGTTCATATTAGGTAGGGTTGGCCAATAGCAAATTATATGTGCAACAATGATCAGAAGATATACTAAAGATTATACAGGTCAGTATGTGTAACATTTTCTTTTTCGTTATATGTACAAATAGTTGTCTTCTTCTCCTCAGCTAATTTAAACCTTACTTTCTCCATGTGTACATTTTGCAGCAGCTGCTTGGGCCCTTCTCTTCAACAAACATACGTACAACATTAACACTCACTACTCGTTTGGCAAATCCTCTACGATCTCTAACTGTGTGTGCCCATTCCAAGATCCCGGAAGTTGACCAGGTTTCATTGCAGCTAGCATGAAAAAAGGTATATTAATCCAGCTGAACTTTGATGGGAAATAGCTCATGATATTAGCAATATGTTTTGGTTTTCCATATTTAGGACCACATTTTGATTACTCTTTTTTAGAACTAGAAAATGTTAAATGATGAATTGATGATATTAGCCTATGACTTTCTAAATTCTTATTGATGATATATAGTTATTGCTGAGGCACAGTAGATAGTTATTCTAGAGTTATTATACATATGAAATAACACCATACTGGGATGAGTGTAAATGAGTCAGTCGCTCGGTCAAAACTCGACTCGAGTTTGGTCAAACTCGAACTCGAGCCGAACTTGAGAAGCCTCACTAAGCAATGAGCCGAGCATGGGGCTCGTGGCTCGAGAGCCATAACATAGATAAATAAATAAATATGTATATATGTTTATATATGAACACAAACACATACATATATGTATACGGCTACACGCACATATTATATATTATTTATAAAAAAATATCATATAAGGAGTTTATATATTTATTTATTTATTATTAGAAATATAATATTAATGATTTAAAAATTGAAAAGTTATTTTTAGCCTGAACTGAGCTCAAGTTCAAACATCTTATTTGAGCTCGAACCTACGTACAAAAGCTAATCAGTATAATTTGAATTGAGCTCGAGCTGAACTTGAATTGAACTCGAACTCGAACCATTATATTCTTATCGAGTTCAAGCATGTCCAAGTTCGAGCTCAGCTTGTTTGCAACTCTAATTGGGAGTGATACAGCTTACAAAGGCAAATCTCTCCAAAAATAACTTTACATTTTAATATTCAAAACCAAATACTCCGTAGCTTTCTTTTTTATGGAGTACTTTTTTCGGAGTCATTATCATATATTCCTAAAAAAGAAATACTTCGTAAAGTAGTCCTTTTAAGGAAATTTGACAGCAGCACAGCACTCTAACGAGTTTCCCCAATTTTTACGGGAGATTTCTAAGAGGGTAAAGTCTACTCTTCAAAATCTTTCGAGAATAAGGCTTAGATGTTGTTGCGGTATTCCTAAGAGGGTAAAAAGCTGTTTATTCTGGTAGTAAGCAGACATAAACCATTCATACATAGACCAATTTTGCTCACCAAACGGCCTCTAATATTAGTTCTTAGCGCCTTCGGACGAACCTGGATTAACATCGTCTTCTAATTCTTGAAGCATGTTTTTCTCTTTGGGATTCAGTGGTACGGGATTGCCTAGCGTTAGCGAAGTTCTTCTGAACTGACAGTAAGCAGACGTCACCTTCTGATAGATCTCTTTCATCCGCCCGTTCTGTTCATCCGCCCGGTCCATTTCAACAAGCACCTGCGCGGGGTTGTTTCTGAACACCGGATGGAACCTCTGCCGGCAGTACTCATTGAAAAGCAGCGTGCAGATTATCAATGGAATGGTGAAGCCAGTTGCAACGGTTGACTTTTTCAGTCCAAACACTCCCAATGCTATTATCTGTGTCAGCACAACCGAGAACATTGTTGCCTTGTGCACAATGATCCAATAGCGTCCCCCCGTCTGGTATTTTGTCACGTATACATTCAAAATCTGAGATTTTCAAATTCATTTTTTCCATATTGTCAAATGATGGAATATATAATGATCATAGGGATATATGTGAGGGTAAAATGCATCTTTTTCACATCCTGAAAATGGACTGGATGACATACCTGATTGCGGTACACAATGTATGCAAGGGAGAAGTAAACCAGCAATGGGGGCAAAATCAGAGGGGCAAGAATGGAACAGGTGTACCCCAGAAGCCCCAGGAGGAGGACCCTTGGGAATTCAGTGTGATAGGGAAATGTCATTGTTCCATAAGTTGACTCGTCTTTGTTCCACAGAACAAACCTATAGAAAAGGTTGCAAAGAATCCCAAACGGTTGCATGAGCTCACAGAACAGACTGGCCCACCCCGAAGTCAAAACATAAGTTATGAAGAAAGTAGCCGTGGAAGGCACTGCCCTGGCAAGGAGGTTAGGAATGTCTTTTAAATTTTTACCCAATTGATCGATCGCACTCCACCCATCAATGACCGACCCCGAAATCGTCTGCGCAAAGAACACGTTCCAAACCATAAAGTACAAGATCTTAATGCACGCGCTCTTCTTTCTCCCGCTTCGGGAAATGGAGCCCTCCATTGTGGAGAACAGCATCATTAATGGTGGGACAAGGTAAGAAAATAGTATTAAGACAACACTGGGTAGATATCCAGTCACGAGTTGAATGATGAACTTCCTCTTCAAGGCTCCTCTCAAGAACGGAAATGTGTGTTGAAGCTTGTCAAGGTGGACGAGACCTTGGGTTAGGGAAACCGGAACGAGGAAGAAGGCGACGAAAAAAATGGAAGCCATTAGAATAATTATTTTACGGATCCAAAGAAGCCTATAAGGCACACAAATGTTTGACCAGTACATGTCTCTTGGTTCTGGGGCAAGATCCGTCACCCATAACATTGGATTTGGAGATTTAATTCCCTGTGAAGCAACCAAAGCTGCATACCGTGTTCTGAAAAATACTAAGGCAGCTGCACATTCCTGCCAAACAAAATAAGCATTCATTTAATTAATTTCAGCACTCCATGGATAGTGACTTTTCACTTTTACACAACACAACATTATAAGCAAGCGTATGTTGGGGGTGTTTTACTAACTTCATTAGTATTATAAAGACTTTGTTTCATCATAACTTGATATCATTACCTCAGATTATATGAGGCCATTAATAATAGTGATGGGAAGACAAAAACAGATCTTACCTGATCTCTCAAATTGGGACCATTTAAATCCCTCCTTTCTTTATCGATTTCTGAATCGGTAGAAAGAACCTTAAAAGATGCTGACTTTCCTCCACAGATTCCACACCTCAAGAGACTAGACCCATGCTGTCCAGGTTTTAGCATCCTGTACACTTTTTCTGCATCAGTCTGTGTATAAGCACAGGATCAACCATTAATCAATTACTATCAAGAACTCACGACAAAATTTTAAAAAGAAAACAAAGGTCTATCAGCTTTACGTACTAACCACTAGTTTCTGAACAACACCAGACCGGTATACGATTTGGTGAGACAAATAACTTGATGCATAATAATCTGTGAAGAATTTTGCAACCATCTCACTGTATGCTTCTTGTTCAGACCATGGGACCCCACGAACCAGAACGGTGAAATAACTTGGATTGGATATAGATGATTTAATGTATGCCAACCTCATCCTCGTGATATACTTGTACTCCTGAGACGAATAAAAAGAACACCACATCTTAAAGAATGACCATGAAACAGACACTGCTACACAGCTTGTTTGTTTTTTGGGCGTACTAGAAAGAAACACAGAGATTATAACTTACAAAGTAAAGAAGAATGCAAGTAGAGCAGGTAATAATGTACAATGCAAGACAATGTGCCCAAAGCCTGGCAAGTAAAATTAAAGACGAGCCAAAGAAAAGTAAGAAACATTTATTTATAACACAGAAATGGATATCAAGGGATAAAGAAACTTAGTGTTATGTATATTTTGTTACCACTTAGACCCTTCCTTGACATTTTCAATGGTGAAAATCTCCAATGACTCCCCGGGAGTCAGCTTGTGCTTTATTTCCTGTCCTAAATAATTCAGTGGCAGCACAAGGAAAAGGCACACTATAGCAGCAATGGAGAATATCCGGATACTGTACATATATGTAAAAACAGTTAAATATGACTGACATTATAAATTTATATCTGGCATTATAAAGTGTTCATTATGAATCTCAAGATTGACATATACACTCTGTCCGGTAGCCAATTCTAGCTTATTCTACTTATTAGTAGAATATTAGAATAAATAGGTTTTGGCTTACTTAGAACCCGTTTAGTGAAGGTTGCTTGATTGAAATGACTAAATAAATTTATTTTCGAAGAGTAGACGTGCTTGGAATATATCATTTCAGCCAAGATGAGCAACTTAAAGCCTACTTATAGGACCCCTTTGGTGAAAGCCGAAGTGATTGAATTGGCTAAATTGGTTGAATTCATTGAACTAAAAGTGAATGAATTTTTGGTTAAAATAATTAATGGATGTGTAGTCATATTAAGGAGGTTTTTTTTGTATTTTGCAAAACAAGTAAAGGTGGATAGAATTGTCTTTCAATTAAAAAATATGAATCAACTGAAAAGTAGCAAAAGGTCGACTTTTGGGAGAACATTTTAACCAGCCAGTTATTGGTGTCTTTTTTCAATCTTGTAAGGCTTATAAGCCCATTTGGGCTCTAATTCTCATTATTGTGCCTGCTTTTCTGAGATCAATGCTACCACACATGTAGGCTTATTTGACTGAAATGGATTTTGCAAAATGCTTTCAATTTTGGAGTACTAGCAGATTCTGCCAAATTAATCTTAACAAAAAAAAGTTCCTTATCTAACATGCACCTAGTCTAAAAGATGAAAGGCTATTTTAGGCAATAAAAAGAACTAAAAAAATTGATTCATTAACCTTTAAAACAATGTGAAGTCACCTGAAAACCATCGTACGATCAAAGACAAGAGCATCTAACCCTCCAACAGCATGCATTTCTTCATCAGAGGTCTCCCAAGCCTTGAGAATCCAACTAGGAGAAGGAACAAACCGTTCAAAACAGAAGGGATCATGTCGTTTAAGATGGACATGTGACAGCTTCTGTCCGAAGTAGACATTTACGAGACTCGGTTGCTTCCTTAAAACTGAGTACAGAAAGAAGCAAGCGACACAGACTGCTGTGTTTATTCCAGCAGAAGTCAACAGTGCAGATAAAATCATCTCTACTAAAAAATGTGCAGTTAGTAATCTTATGGAAACTCATTTGCGAAAGCATCCATTAAAAGTCTTGAATGCCTCCTTTGATCAGCTCAGATGGCAAACATATCCCAAAGTAACTCCAACAGTCCAGAAACTGAAAAAAAAACATACAATAACATCAAAATAAAACCTTAATGTGCAATAGCAAATCACAAAATTTGATAACAGAGATTGGAGAAGCATTTAAGTTTTCCTTGGAGAAGATTCATGCACTGATCATCATTATTATTTTCAATAGCATCAAGCCTCACATCACATTACTCATTAGCAGGAGGGAGAGACCTAATTGCATTCAGTTTGTCTCACAGAACACAAAATTCAGTGAAACTGGAGATATCAAATCTCCATTTAATTAAATATTAGCAACTATAAATTACAATTGACACAACTTGGATATGACAATGTTGGAATTACATTTATTTGATGTCTTCCCAAATTGACGGAGCAGGGGGCTTGGACTTTTCGTCCATTGCTATGGTTGAATGAATTAGAGAATAGAAAATATATAAACTCGAATGTGCTTTCTAGTCCGCTGCTACCGATGAGAAGAAGGATAAGGCTATTCGGTTTTATTACGGGGTTTGCTTTTCCCCGAACAGATTTGCCGATTCGATCAGGAAACCAAAAAATGGAAGATTTTTTTTAATGTTGGAGATTCGTCGTTGTTTCAGACCGAATAAAGGAAAATTTTGATATTAGCTTCCAATAGGCAGAGAAGAAACAATGGAGGATGAACACTTTTTGGATTTGTCGTTGGCGATCGAGGGCACAATGGCAGTTAATAAAAAGAAGTTGTTTTCTTTTTAAAATGTTTGGAACCGCCGAATAACAGTATTCACTTTTTTAAGTTTGGGCATCCAGTTCATAAATTAAAGAAGAAATATACTTCGTATAAAACAAATTCTCTTTGTGCTCTTGGATGAATAAGACAAATCACAATACTCTCTTGTACTGTTTCATTTCAAAATGAAATGATTACTTAGACAATAATAAAATATTCTAATTCGAGTATATTTGTGTAAAAGTTTTTATAATGTATAATATATGAGTTATTGATGATAACTTTAATATTATAGATGTATTATTTAAGCGTGAGTAAAATTGTTATGATTAAATTATTATTTAAGCGTGCTAATTATTTCCAAAAATAGAAAACATTAACCTTTAGCAGGACGTCCAAAAATAAAAAGTGAGAATCATTGAATGTGACATATGGAATATTAAAGTGTACACCCTTATTTTTTATTTTGCAGCGTCCATTTTCGGTGAGTTTTAATAGAACATTATTAAGCATATTTGTTTCCTAGTATGTTTCAAACTCTCTTATTATAATAAATATTCCGGATAGGACTCTTATTGAAGTATCTTTTCTCAAATTCTCACATGGTATCAAGAGTCTAAGGTAAAATAAATATGCCTAAAAATGTTCTATTAAGATGATCTCATCTTTCTTTTCGATCCGTCCATTGTCATATATCAATTTGATAAAATTTGTGATTACAGATCATTCTTAGTTTATTGTTACTAAATAGATTCGTATCAATCACAAAAACTCAATTTTTTAATAAACACACCACCGCACCATCTTAACACCGCACCATCATATTAACATGTGTCAATGTTGATAGATACCATATTGTTTCTTCAACATGTGAGGAACCTATTTTTTCAGAAAAAGAAATAGGAATGAAGTTGATGGATAACGTACAATATATTAAAGCTCCCCAATGTTTTTATCAAAATTTGTGTAACTAACTAATTTTAAACTTTTTACCGAAAAAAAAAACAATTTTAAACTACGGAGCAAATGAGATCTTAAGGTTTTTCTTGGGGAGATTTCATTCTTTATATTTATAGTTTGTATTTGTGCTAGAGGAATATTTAGCAATGATGGCATCACATGATATAGATTTGCATTCCATTTTATATGCTTTTCGGTGTAATAATATCATCCAAAACATGTACCAATAATGAGCAATTGCCCATCTGAGCAAAATTCAAATTTAAAAACATGCTTTCACTGCAACATTGGCATTAAAAAGGGAAGAAAATCAAACATTCGATTCCTCATATTAATATGTAATGTTGTTTAGCAAAATTCAAATTTAAATACATGCTTTCATTGCAATATATATTGGCGTTAAAAAGTGAATAATATCAAACATTCGATATTATTCACTTTTTAAGGCCAATATTCACATTCGATGGCTTGAGGAAAACCCTGACGGCGCACTGCTCATGATCGACAAACCAGCGGCGGCCAAGCCGCCGGATCCTTCTATTGTCCGTTCCTTTGCATCAGTTCTAGTTGGTGCTCAAAAGGAGGAGATTTCAATCAAGCAACCTTCCAGATTCAAAGGAATGCCATCGGTTGAATTCTCCAAAGAAGAGGTTGATATTTTGGCTCGTAAGCACAATTTTACCTTGGTTGGTTCTTTTACTAAAGGTAGACCTAAATTGGATGTGGTTCGAAAAGCTTTAGAATCAATTGGTTTTACGCATTCATTTCACTTAGGCCTTCTGGCTCATAGACATGTTCTTCTATGTTTTCAATATGAGGATGACTTCCAAAGATGTTGGTTGAGACGCACTTGGTCTATTCAAGGTTATTTGATGTTGGTTTCTAAATGGACACCACAATTCAGATCTGATGTTGAGTCCCCAATTGTTCCAGTTTGGATAGCATTTGAGGGACTTCCTCTACACTTATTTGACAAACGAGCTCTTTTTTCTATTGCAAATCTCATTGATAAGCCCCTAAAATCTGATGCAGCTACAACCAATCTGACCAGACCCTCAGTTGCGAGAGTCTGTATTGAGGTTGATCTTACTAAAGAATTACCTCACAAGATTTGGCTTCAAAATGGTGATATTGGTTTCGCACAAACTGTTACGTATGAGAACATGCCAAAATATTGCATAGAATGCCTAAAAATTGGGCATTCTAATTGCAAAAACTCCCCTCCAGAAAAGACCATTACAGTACCTATTAAGGAGAAAGAGTGGGTTCCAAAGCAGAAACAAGATCAACAGAACAAGCAGGATAAAAAACAAAAGCAAAAAGTACAAGTAGATTCACAGCTAGCTCCTGATCCTCAGGGATCTGTCATCTCCAAGGAGATTATTACTCTTGATCCTCAAAGCAATGGTGAAACTGTGAACCCTCATAATGCAGCTGTGGAGGTGATAGTCCCTCAGAATACTGATGTGGTGGCTCCCACAAGTCAGGAATCCCCTATCCCTCAATTGGATAACATGGACACTGAAGTAAGAGCATTGGTGGATGGAATGGCTTATGCAGCTGATCTGAAAAGATTAAAGCATCATGATGATTCTATTAAAAGAGTTGGTAAGCCACAATAGTTTTAATTGAGGATGATAATATTTCAGATGGGGGGACCTGAAGATAATTCCAGTTTATCCAAGGAAGAATGGCATAGTATTCTTCAACCTATTGTCAATCATGTCAAGATTATTGAGCAGAATATGGAGAAAGATCCTGTTAGCACACAAATGGGAGATTTAATCATTCAAACAGCAAGAAAAAAAGAGTTAAGAAGGACTACAATCTTAATCTACCACCTATCCAAACTAGGTCTGCTGCAAGGAGAGGGGCTGAAGAAGCCGAAGTATCTTCTCAATGAATATTTTCTCTTGGAATGCCAGTGGTCTCTCTTCCTCTTTCCGGAGACTACAAGGTTTAGTGAGGCAATGGGGACTCTCTTTTATTGTCATTATTGAACCTTTATGTTCAGTCAATAAAGCTAGTTTTTTTTTCAACACAAACTTGGTTTTAATCAGGGGTTTTTCAAATCAGACAACAAATTTGGGTGTTCTGGAAGGAGGGGGACTTTTTGTTGTCAGATTTTATTGATAGTGATCAAATTCTACACTTCAAAGTTGTTGACAGAAAGTGGGGGTGGTCTTTCTTTTATTCTGCTATTTATGGTAACCACACCAAGCAAGACAGATTACCTCTTTGGGATTGGCTTATTAATTGGAAGAATAACAACAATTCTCCTTGGATTGTTGGGGGTGATTTTAATGTTCTCTACTCTATCACTGAGCATCAGGGGAGAACATTTCCAGATATTAATGAGATTCATGATTTCAAAGATTTCTTAGATCAGTGTGTGTTACATCAAATTCCTCACACAGGGAGTCCTTTTACCTGGACAGGAGTGAGATCTCGGGGGAGGCTCTGGAGAAGACTGCATAGAATGGTTGCTAATGATGCTTTTCTGGATAATTTTGATTTTTTTCTCAGCAGCACCTTGTGAGAACTTCATCAGATCACTCTCTTATGCTTCTTATCTGCAAAAAAATAAAGTTCAGGGCCCAAGACAGTTCAGATTTCATAACATGTGGTTAACTTCTCCTAGCTTTCAAGATGTGCAAAAAAGTTGGAATGCTTCCAGGACTGGAGGGGGTATGAGAGGACTATACCTTAAACTTCAAAGGTTTAAGGTGGACTTGAAAGAATGGAACAAATATGTTTTTGGGATTGAAAAAAGAAGGATGGAGTGCATTTTCCTTTTATAATATTTTCAGTCCCTAGGTTTTATCAATTACATAAAAATTTCTTTTCATCTAGAGAGTCACCACACCGTAACTATGGCGCAGGGACGGAACCAAGATGTAATACTACTAGTGTCATAGGTCGATTCATGTTAGCCGATCCCAAATTCTTTTGGAATTAAGACTTGGATGTTGTTGTTGTTGTTGTCAAAGTAATATAACAATGAATAATCAAAATTTTTGTGATCCGTTTTTTGATTGCTCAGTCAACTTTTTCACTAAACATGTACTACCTCCGTCCCGCTATGATTGTCCCATTTTACCTTATCGATCCGTCCCACTAAGATTGTCTCATATCAAATTTGGTAAAGTTTGTGTGGCTCTAAATCATTCTTACTTTATCAATTCAATATCAACCACATAAGACACTTTTTATTAATTTGTGTGTCACTCCCTCTTGTCCCAATGTTAGCGGGACGGAGGGAGTATCTTTTAATTTGACACATTTAATTTTGTAATATTCAAAATAAGTGAATCAAGTTACTTTTCTGATTGAATTGACCGAAACTACGGTAGAGAACAACTCTAGCTAGTTTTTATTTGAAAAAAAAAACTTCATTTATTCTAGCTAGTAATGTATCTAATTTCTTTAAATATAATTTTTTAACACTTTAAGCATAACTAATCAATCCAGTCACTTGATTCAAAACTTCATGAATTTTAATAGAACTAGTTGATTGAGTCAATTTTAGTGTTACCATAGAGGCTCTAAAACTATAAATAATGTATATTCAAGAATTCGAAAATAGGAGTATTGTTTCACTTCCTAATTAAATATCATCATCATAGAAAAAATTAGGGGGTATATATTTTATATATTAACCCTGTTTATAAAAAAAATAGTTGTGTCATTTTAAGACTTCAATCTATATATACATGTATATACAATAAATATATATTTTGAGTAGTGTCATTTGACACCATAAGCTAACACTTGCTATGGGCCGCCTATGGCGTCTTTTGGAGCAACAGTCGTGCTAAGGAGTGTTACTCATACCCATATACTTGGTTAGCAGAGAAGTCAATTAAGATTTGAAACTTACTATTCTTAACCACATTTCAAACCTATCTCCACATTCAGGGTAATATTTTCTGACAGACTATGAAACTTTGCCCTTGATAAATATCGAGGGAGAATGTTGAAAGTAGTTTGATATAAAGGTGATTACAATTTGCTGCACAATAAATGATTTTCTAAAACACTTTATGGACTATAGTAACTCACAATCATTTTCTTCGTTTAGCCAATAAGGCGGGATAAAAAGGGGGGGCAGGGGGAGGAAAAGTGTGTCAAAGATACAACAATCTGCAAACAACTCATTTAGCAGGAGGAGCTCTGTAATAAGCTGGAACTGTTGCTGGGAAGAACATCTGTCTCACTCCTTCCGCCTTAATAATAGGAAAAATAATGCCAGATGCGCCTGAAATCAGTCTTGCCCCAATCCAAAGGCGTTTTGGTGAGGGGAAAGGAAGCAGCAAACGGCCAACTCCATATATTGCAACTGCGAAGAAATGGCAAACCAGACTCAACGGTCGGGGGTTTAAACCAGATAACAAAGCCACTGGGCCTGTAGAGCAAACCCCTCCCAGGCTCAAATAGTCGAAGCACGCCTGGCGCATCTCTTTCCTTGCTTGGTCAGGTGAAGAACAGAACACTTTATATAGTGCACCTGCAAGTGTATTTATGGTAGATGCCACCGGCTGCAAAGAAACAGATACAATAGCAACTAGGTCAAGACCCAAATACCAACACTCCAAATAGCATTTTATTTTCAGTACCTACAAAAGAAACAACAATATCAAGCAATAGTGATGGTTTTACCTTACGCAAGGTGTAAAAGGATTCCAAATAGTTGGAGAGTGAGGGTGCATCATGGAGATCATGCAAAGGTTTGAGTAGGTTACGTAATACAACTATATCCGACAAGGCCACAGTCATTCCTCCACCAGTTAAGGGATGACGCATGTTGAACGCATCACCCATAAGCAAAGCCCCAGGTGTAGGCAGGGGAGCAGCAGGCATGCTTTTGTTTTGCATGGTACGTATATTGCCCTTATCGACAGCAGCTATGAATGCATCATACAGCTCGGGAGGAATCTGAATGAGACCAGATTGATGCTAATTTCGAATACAGGTTCAACGTAAGAACATTAGTTTAACACTTACAAAACAATTACCTGAGGAGCAACAACATTCTTCAAATAATTGGCCATTTCACCGTTAGAAATGGATGGAACCTTTTGACCAGGAACATCTACAAGGCAGCGGATCTCAGTACTGCTTATCGGATAAAACAAGATGGGTGATGGATCTCCTAGTATAACATGTCCATGGTTATCATATGGAAGTTGGCAATTCTCCAAGATTAAACCAACAAAACAAGAAGGCACGTCCACCTACACAAAGAAGCAATGACAAGGATGTTAAAGTTTTTATCCATATATGTGTGCTAATTGAACATTGAATACAACAACGAAAACCAAGCCTTATTCGCAAAAGATTTTGGGGTCGGCTGACATGAAACGATCAACGAATATGTGTGCTAAATGTTAACTCAGTAGAGTTGATGAATATTTTGGAATCACTGAATTACTCTACAAAAGACGAAATATAGATTTTGTTGTAGGATTTTTAACAAAAAAGTAAAAACTACTGTTTACTGATTTTTACAATCTTGGTATTTAGTTCAAGAAAAAAAGAACTGGAATTTCAGAATGAATATGCCCTGAGGTTCTGCATTTCTACCTTGGGGCTGCAAAGTGACCGTCTCAAATTTGAAAAACAACCATCACACACTATTGTCAATGGTGCATAGGCTTTCAACACTTCACCAGATTTACACTTGTACTGCACCCCTTTAATAGTTCCCTTCTCTTCAAGCAAGGATGTCACTGTTCCTTCCTCTAATTTGACACTGGGAGATAGACCAATAAAAGTTGAGTAATAACATTTGTCAATTAATTAAAGGAACATGCCATCATTGGAAAACTTGCAGGACATAAAACCTAGTGGCACATTGTAATTTGTAAGCGTCTAAATAAAAAAGCAATTCAGTTAAGTGATTAACCAAAAATTCTAGATAACTATCAGGGGTGGTAAAATAGTAAAATACAAAGGAAGAGAGATCCATAAGAAACTTTTTGAAATATAAAACAAAGTACTCAATCTACTCATCTACAGCTAACTGTAATCCGTAATGAAACATAGAACTGTAAAAACTAACAAAGCAGATGGGAATTATACTTGGGAAGAGAAGCAGCTTTCTCCCTCATTCTTTGAATGAAACGTCCATTGTGAAAGCTTCTTCCAGATACATCTGAATGAAATTTCTCCAAAGGATAAGAAAGCCTAGTGTTCTTCCCATCTTTAAAAAGAGCATACCCAAATACTCTTTGGGCATCAATGTTTTCCACACAATCTGAATAATAAAGTTGAAAAGTTGTATAGTTAAAAATCACTACGTAATACGCAGTACCTTCCCAGTAAAGAACTGAACACTATAAGTAATACTCCCTCCATCAATATTAACTTGGTTGAACTCGTACCTTCCAGCCCTAACTCGAGCAACTTGAGGTAACCACCTGGTTGCAACAGTTCTCCAACAATTCGGTCAGGCTCTGTCAAGTCTCTTTCAATCACATGAACCCTCCTACCATCCTGCAATTCAAATCATATTAGAAGATTCAGAAATGTTATTACTTCCACAATGAGAGTATTGAAAGATGACAAATTAGGTGCAAATGGAGCCATACTAAAAGAGTTAGACATAATTTTATTTGACACTTTCATCTGGCGATCAGTAAATTTTTTCCGGAAGGAAGGTGCACCCCTAACCCCTTCCGGAAGTAAATTATTTGCCACCTAATATGGCTCTAATTGACTGCCTGCAGCACCCCTATCAACTAAGAATATTCAGAAATTACAGATTAGGAATCCTGCAAAGTGCAAAAAGTCAATTTTTTTACGTGATTCAATTTTAAAATTGTCTTTCAAGACCAAATTCCAAACTTTATCATCATCCGATCAAGATAGATTAGTTCTGGAGGATTACATACGTCGCTCATCACCTACCGTCTGTATACACACATGCGCACACGCTGTAAGGATAAGAACACGGTACACAGACAATTTACGGGAAAAAAAACAAATAAATCGCAAGAAAGAATCCGTACCTTGCCGAGAGTATGAGCCAGAGCGGCACCGGCAACACCAGCACCGACAATAATGACGTCGGCATCTCTGTGACCGTCATTCCTTGATCTGCACTCGCTGTCGACAATGCTCGTTGTGTTAACATCGCCCTTTTCAATCCTACCCCCGCATCTCTTGAAGAGCAAGGTGTAAACCGCCACAAGCCCGAAAATAGAGGCGAGAACCGTACCGGCGAGATACTGATCCACCATTTTCCGGACTGTGCCGAACGATACAACGCGGAGCGTTCTCTTGCCCCCTCTTCCTCTTTGCTTCTCTGTCTAGCAAAAAACGGGGTAGAAATTCACGGAGTATATGGTTTATATATGCTCCGCTCTCTATTTGTGGGCCTGTGGCGGTGGTGCGGTGTGCAGCAGCGCTGGCATACGGCGTTTTGTTGTGAAGTTGTGGTTGGAGTGAACGCAACTGTGCCTTCGGTGCAGATTGTTCGTGTGATCGTGTCAGTTTTTTAACCCTTTAATTCGCTGGTTCGGCTATATGCAAATGAGAAATGCTAAAGCTACTCATTTTGGGTACCCATTTTTCAGCAACTATTAGGCTTTTTTATAATCGGGTCTTACGCTCTCATAATCCTGGAATCTATGAACTACCTTCCAAAATCCTTAGATAGTTAAATCCTGGAGTTTATGAACTACCCTCCAAAGGACGAATCCAGCAGCTCTCACCACATTCTCAGTCGCTGAGCAACTTCATGAAGGTAAGAAAAATCATTGGGAGCAAGACCTCCCTCATCTCCCCTTAGTGAGAATTGAACTCAAGACCTCCCACAAAGGAGAGACTTGGGGGTGGATGGTCATCCAATGGACTACATCCATCTTCCCTTTCCGCAACTATTACGTGATTACAAACGACGCAACGCACTTAAGTAAGACAATATTTTTGAAAAATGTCTAATGTACAAAACATGTGTACACTC